AAGGAGCTAGAACAAAAATTTTTTATCATTAAATAGGGAATTGTTTATACTATATACACCACTATTCAAAACAAAAAAATTCGCACCTACGATTTTTTCAGAAAACGCCGCCTAAATGCCCACTGTGATTCCCCAATTCAATACTCTTCATCTGCAGAATCATCTTCTAAGTCCGATATTCGAGGATCTAATTCTGGATATCATTCATCCATGCGTATTGAGTGCCAAGTCAAAAGAACTTTATGGATTTGACTAAGTTGCAATTTTAGAAGAATGTAAACGACACGTCGTCTTAATATTTGCTGAATAAAGGTGGTCTGTTTGTTCGTGGCACGGAAGAAGTCCTGAGTGAGTAGGTCATTGATTTTTTCCACACCTTGAAGAGAATAAAGATTCAGTTCCTCATAGGCGACCTGAAACTCTGCTATGTGACAACCGAACACATGGATGTATGGCGCCACTTGATCATGACCAAACAGTTTTTTGTACTCGTCACTCCATTCCTCGCATGCTTGGGGAATATTGATGATTGCCTGGTAGTCTTTCGGTTTCTTAACCAAACCATGAAGCTAAGTAAGTGAAGTAGTTCCATGATCATGTTAGTTATTTTCAGTACATTTATTATTTTAGTAATGATTAGGTTTTTTATCATTTCATCAGTCATATAAAATTAATAAGCAAAAAATTGTTCTAAATGGTACTCTAAACTTTGTTTTTCAAATAATGTAATTTTACTAACTTCCTGACAGAGCCAGATAGTACTTACATCAGTTACTTTTGGTTGGATCCGAAGCATCTTCAATACTGCTGCTCGTCGCTCTTTTAAAGCTTTTACTGTAGGGCGTACAGGGATAGCACAAGATTCTTTGATTACGTGCTTCAGTAATATGTCCAATACTCTCAAATACATGTGTAACACGTCAGGTACAATATCTGTGTACCTAAAATTCGAAACATGACGTTAGTAGCCTTAGAACAATTTCTTTTTTCCAGAAAAGGACGTTTTCAACAGTAAGTGAGTGCTCAATGGAAACAAAGCGGAGGATATATATTTTATAACCTTTTGTAAACGAACGCTAATTTCTTTTCATTTGTTTTAGAATTCAGCGTCGATCTGGCCGTACAAACCACCAAGATAGTTTTTATTTAAATTTGATTAAAAACGGTAGAACGTTTGGTAATCGTTATATTCAGAATATACCTCTCTCTCTTCGGCGGCGCATTAAAGACTGCAACCGACTGTTAAGAGCGGTGGCGCATAAAGTGCAGTACATCATTGGTAAATACATGAAAGGTCGACAACATGATTCTGATGAAGGTCGTGGCTGGTTTTTTCTGACTCTTGGCGAATACGGGTATCTAGTACAAGAAGGTGTAAGTATATTTCTTTCTTTCTTTTTCAAATACAAATGTTAACTGCTGATGTTCTGTAATTTCTAGATAAGTGCCCGCTATACTAATTGTGATGAATTAATTGATGCTATGAATCTCATTTTAAACATTAATTATAACTTAGTGCGAGTGTTAGAAAGTCATGATATACATTTAGCAATTACAGTCAGCTCATTAATTCAACACAAAGAAGATATGACACTGGTGCAAAAGAAGCTCTTGCAATTGTTTTATCAATTAAACGAATGAGACAATATTTACTTGGACGCGATATAATTATATACACTGATGATTGTCCACTTTGCGGAATGCAAAATAAAACTCTCCGTAATACGTTGGCCAACAGAATCTCAATTTTATTGCAAGAGTATAACATTATTCGAATTATTCATATTCAAGGAAAGAAAAATTGTCTACCGGACTATTTATCTCGCCATCCAATTGAATTTAATGATCAGGACCTCATTGATCCAGATTATGGGCTTCACGTTAAACCACCATCGTCTTCGTCTGTTATTTCTGTTAGTGGAAGGTCACAGCCTTTAAAGGTGTCAGTGACTGGAGCAGTCACAACAAGGTTGCAAACAAGAAGAGCTCAACAAGAGCAAACTACTGAAACATCTCCAAATGGTTCCACTTCTGATCAAGATTCAATCGATTTAAAATCTACTCAAAAATTCAATTGTAATAAATTTGATATCAGACAGCTGAAAATCGAACAGGATAAAGAGTCTACCATTAAATCAAAAATAGATCAATTGAAGAAAGACCCCAATAAAATCGATTTTGTCCTCAAAGATGATATTTTGTATAAGCTCGTTCAGCCCAAATATTCTATATGTAAAAAACCTGTTCCGTATATACCACCATCAATGATTCCGCCTTTACTTGAAGCTTCCCATAATGATCCGCTTTCTGGTCATTTTGCTACTCATCGTACACTAGGTGGTATTCGCCTATAATACTGGCGTTCATTCGTCCACCAAGTTCTCACCATATGAGCTACAATTTGGGAGAAAACCGCGTTTGCCGATAGATCCACCGCCAACACAACTGAATTTACCAAATCCATCCGATTACTATGCTCAGT